GCAGGCCTTCACAGAATCTCACCCACCCACTCCTGTATCAAACCCCTAATCTATGTCTGAGCTACTGAAGTCCTCAAATCATGGTTTAAAGACTTCAAGGTACAAAGAATTCTCCAGCAAGTGGGGCCGTCGAAGCTTGGGTCTGTTTGCTGACTGTCACTGTTGCAGACTGGTGCCCAGAGCAAGGTGATCACGCTGGTATCAGGAGGACCGGTGCCGGGGGGACTGGAGACGCAACGGGGAATGCTCCCACGAGGCAGGTGACTGGTACCTGTGCCGAGAGAATGATCAGTGAGAGGGTGAGCAGCGTCATTAGTACGGAGACCGGCATCTTGCTCTAGGCGATCCGCGTTAAGATGGCGGTGACCGCAAACGTGGTGCCAGTGACCAAGGATGAGCCCCAGAGGATCTGGGCTGCTTTGTCTTGGGGGATCAGTGGCGCTCCACTGCCCCCTTAGGGGTCTTAGCAGCTGGCTTGCCTTCGTGGGGAGCCTTTGTCAGTTCCTAAGGCACCTGCAGTATTGGGGGTGCAGGCGGAGGCCTGTGCTCTCTTGGCACCAGGGGAACCTATGAAGATGTCGGTGCCACAAGGGTTTTTGGTTCCATGCTGCTTCCGGGAGTCGGTGGTGGATCTTTCATGGAGCTAAGGGCCTTGACCAAGGAAGTACAACTGCGCGGCTCCAGAGTGGGTCCCTTGCCTGATGACCAGGGCCCTTTTTGCCAGGTGCTGTGGAGTCATGCTTTTTGGGCATCGGTGCCAGGGGCGCACTGCACACCGAGGCCGAGGTACATGGCAAGTCCTGGCAGGGCTGCATGGAGGCCAGATGCAGGGTGGACTCCATGAGGAGAGCCCGTAGCTGAATATCTCGCTCCCTTTGTGTGCAGAGCCGGAAGTTCTTACAAATTCAGCACTTGTCTCTAACGTGTGACTCCCCTAAGCACTTGAGGCAGCTGCTATGGGGGTCCCTTACGGGCATAGGCCTGTTGCAGTCCGCGCAGGGCTTAAACCCGGGAGACGGGGCACGCACCGCCTGGGGCCCTAACTGCTAACGATTAACTACACTTAACAACTACTTAACACTAACTACTATAAACAAACTATTTACAAGGCCCTAAGCTCGAAGTCAGTAGACGAAAAAACAGCTAACCCTTGCAATGCAAGGAAAGGCGCTCCAACTAACCACCATGGGCGGTAAGAAGGAACTGAGAGGGCGTAGGGTCGGCGGTACCTGATATACCGGCGCATGTGCATGGCATTCAAGGGGGCGCCACTGCCAACCCTACAGATACTGCTAAGGTAAAAATCGCCGAAGACCGCGCACATGGGCACGCACACACCTAGAATAGAATCGACATGAGCAAGCACTTGAAGAATGAAAATGAGTTACTCAGAGTTTTTCAAACTACATTAATGGCATCTAGTGGATTATGGGTGTTACTACAGTTTTCTTTTACTCAACTGGTAATAACAAACAAGTATCACTTGAATTATTAACAATAGCCACTGTTTAACTGATGTACGCTAATGCCATACCCTGATTAGAAGCAGAATAAAAGCTCACTTGCAATTAGGAAAACAAATGAACACATGGGTTGATATTTCTGTATCTACTCTAACACCTCCTTTAACACTAATATTGTCACTTTAGTTTGTTTTGTTTTAAGTAACATGCTCATTCTCACTATAAATATTAACTGACTAAATGGCTGAAAATTACAACTATTGACACATCTGCTAAAAACAACCCAGGCACAGGATTGAAAAACTCTTAATGAAGTATACAGCAATACTCAGGAAACACCCAACTATATCATCTTGCACTTCTCATCAAATTGATTCTGTTACACTACCCAAAATATTTATAACCTCTAACTCTCTTTTGTATCCCTAAGAGACTAATAACCTTTTTGAACACGTTGGACTCACTTGGCATTTTCCGAATTTGGATTTAACAAGGACAAACTTCACACACAGTGTTTTGTTGCATTGGAGAATTACAGTGAAGATTCCTTTACGTTTTTGTGCATTCTCTCATAGTCAGCTCTGCTTAAATGATGAATGTTTGTGTTGTTTCCTCTAGCGTTCCTGGCAATTAGTATTTCCAATTTAGTGTATTCGGATTCATTCTACCGAACTGCTACCAGTTTTACTAGAGTTACTGTAGTTTATGTGACTAATACCTTGTACTTAGATCTAACCTCTGACCAAATAGAGCTGTTCAAAAACTGCATGAAAATCACTCCTATACCACCTAAAAATGAGCAGTTACACCCTTACAGCTTTAAGGCATAACCTTTATCCAAATTAATAAAAGGCCTTAACCAGATGAAAGCAATCCACTAACTAAAGCTCCAATGGCCTCCTAAGCTGTACCCTGCACTGGCGGTTTGTGATTCTGAAAAGTGTGCTTCCCTTTCAGTAACAACCACATAGTGCAGCATCTGGCATTCCCAGGCCACATGTGACCAGCACCAATAAGGGGCAAAAATTACAGGCTAAGAAGAGTGTTTTGAAGAAGCATCCATGACATCTAAAGCAAAGTAAATCCTGCCTAACTGAACATCAGTTCTTGTGGGACAGAAAGATTCATGAAGAGGCTGAAAATTTGGTGCCACTGTGCCTAACAACTTTGGAGAAGCAGCAAGTCACCCGCCAGACAAATGCTTCTGAAATACCTTAACAGTTGGGGATGGAAGAAGAAGAAAGGGAGAAAGAAAGAGAATCTCTCCACAAACCTGCAGAGCTTCCATCAAATGCTGGGAAGAGTTATTCAGAATAATTTTACATCTCTCACAGGAGCGAAGGCACCTTCCTGTTGTTCCCATAGTAGAATAATATTAATTTCACAACCGCTGTACTAAATCAAAGCACTCCCCCTTTCTGTAACGCTCCCCGTTTACAAAAAGCAACTACATAGTTTGGATCTGGAATGACATTTTATATTATGAGAACTAAAGAAGAAAGAACTAAAGTAAAGTCTCTGTGAGAGTGCACAAATGTACATGCTGTATTATCTTTGCCTCACAAAAGATTAGCTACTTTTGCAGTACTCCTAGAAATGCAAAGGTGAAGTAAACAGAAAATAAGATCATAACGTAGATATATTACAACATATATTACACCTTGTACACTAACACCAACAGGTTCTGAGTTTAAACACCAAAGTTTAAAACAAGATAGTGTTTTTACATGACCATGATAAAATACAACTACTTACCTGCAGTTCCTAAGCTAAGTAGCACAGCAACCCAGAACACCCAGAAGAAAATGAGAATCACAAAGGTCCATAGTGGCTGGAACAGTAGGGAAGGGACCCTGCTAATTAATTTATTAGCAACCCAAAAGAGCTGTACAGTCAGCTGAATCCTCTTCCTTAGTACAAATATGAGGGAAAGTAGAACCATCTATTAAAAGAGATTAAAAACAAATCAGAAAAATAGTAAACTAGGAATTTCTTTCTTAAATTATCAGAAGTTGTCAAATTTTGTAGGGGGAGCGTGGTACCGATTTCACAAAGGGACCGCAGCAGAACATGTTTTTTTCATAAAACTATTATGCACTAAATCTTTAACACTGAACTGCAGACACCACCTAAAAGACATAGCACACTGGAAACTACAAAACAACAAACATTCACAACAGAAGCTGCTTCACCACTTTTCTAGTCTGCTTTACAAAGATGCCAGATGCCCTCAGAAAAGCCACTGGGAGCAGATGATGTATTTGGAATTCTACAAATGGCAAAGGCATTGCACTTGAACAAATCTGCATCCAAAGAAACCTTTTCTTATTCTTTTATTTAGGAAGAGAAGAGGTGCAGAGCCCACTGTCTGATAATGTACAGAGAATATGCAAGCAATCTCTAGTGTGTATCTCACTTATATTAGTCACTTTAATACAATACAGACTGTCCATTGTGTGCAACCACATTTTCTTTTAAAAAAATATTAATGTAACTGACTCACTTCCCAACAATACATGAACTGTTCACACATTCATACTGGGGTACGATACTAAATAAGGTGAAACATTCATTTCAACAGCATAAAGCCATAGTAATAAGGTTGTGTGGTGAACAGGAGGTGGATGACAGGAAGGCAAAAATTCAGCACTACAGCTTGTGGCCAGCAAACTAAACTGCAGCACTGACCTTTATGGAGATATACCTATCTCATAGAACTGGAAGGAACCCTGAAAGGTCATTGAGTCCAGCCCCCTGCCTTCACTAACAGGACCAAGTACTGATTTTGCCCCAGATCCCTAAGTGGCCCCCTCAAGGATTGAACTCACAACCCTGGGTTTAGCAGGCCAATACTCAAACCACTGAGCTATCCCTCCCCCCTCTGCAATGGCTGTTGCCCCTTTGTGCCACGTACAAGGTATGTTGGGTCCACAGGATTCACATTTCCATGGATCCAGTGTCTCTCTCCTCACTCAACCCCATTAGCTTAACTGAGGATGGCCTATAGACCCACACTGCAGCAGTGTGCCCAGGGCAAACGTCCTCCAACACAAGCTGCTCTGCTGGCATTGTCCTATAGCCCTAGCACAGGGTTTAAGTTTGTGGAGAGCCTCTTACAGACTCTTCATAATACAGGTGAATGTCACCATAAAATGTAAGAAAAGGATTAAATAATTATAAACAGATCTTATTTGGCTGCAAATGGAAAGCAGAATGCACTAGAGGGCAATCCACAAAGAGAGAAACTGACCATGTCATGGTTGAAACATCACCACACAGCCTTAATTACCCTCTACAATGGAGTTTCCCCTTTTCAATGTCAAGTGTAAATAAAGGAGGGAGCATGTGCACTCACATTGCTGTAATATAGTTTTATTTCAAGGTTTCAGATTACCATCTCTAACATTAAGCTTCCTAACGATCATTCTGTAAAATTTCTCACCGTAATCATGGTAGATATGATAGCAAATCCAAGTAAAAATTTTACATTTTCTTTTTCAGTTTCCAGTTCTATGCTTGGGTCGTTAGTGTAGTCATAGTAGAGCCACCACAGAACACTGGAGACAACTAGAACAAACACAAATCCATGAAGGTGCAGACAGTACTTCACAAGTGACTGGCAAGCTAATGTGTACATGTTATGGCTCTGTTACCTTCTCCTCTTGAATTACAGATTAACTGAAGAATGGAGTAGTGCAGCACAGAGTGAGAAACATTAGGTGTAAATGCACATATCTGTGCTCACAGAATAAAACTGTGTGGCTGGTTTGCTATTTTGAGGTCAAAGCCAAAATTAAGTCTGGTTTTCTTGCAGCTTTGAAGTTACAGCATCATTGCAAGAAATAAACATAACTTATAAGATAGCCCACATTTCAGGCTTTGATCATTCTTAATAGTTCTCTCTTTTTAAAGGATGCATTGTTCAAGTCTCTATTTAAACTTTGTTGGAAATGTTAACACTGCTCATACTCAAATCATTTGTCAAAAGAAATTCAATCTGCAGACATCTGTAAATAATTAAAACAAAACAAACCTCTCAACACCCTGATCCTACAGCTAGACCTGCATAGCCAGACCTTTTCATCCACACAGAGAAAGGGTCCAGCATGGATCTGATTGCAGGATTGGGACCCAATTTAGCTTACTGAAGGATAGCCGAGGAGAATTTGCTGTTTTTTCCTTTATGTTTTTCCTTCAATTTGGTGAAACAATGGGTTACTTAAACACATCATTATAAATAAATATACTTACATAATAATCCAAACACAACTAGTGTAATGAAAATATGGACCAGAAGTGTGGTGATGAATCTGAAGGTTAAAACCATTATTAAAGAGAAGGCTGGAAAATTAAAAAAAATATATAGAAAGAGTCAACTTCAGATGACTTATGATCTATTTAATCAAACTAATTACATGGAAAATTTAGGTTTTTCTACAGTCCAGATTTTTTATTTGTAAACACTGATCTCAAAAGCAGAGACCAATAGGCTTTAAAACTGAAGAGATTCTGTTTTGACCAGAAATGTTCCAAAATCAGAGCCTAAAATGACCAGAATTAGTAATTATGTAGAATAGTCAGGTTCTTAACGTAAATTCAGTACTGGTATAATCCTTGCCTTCTGAAGTCCATTCTCTCCAGAGGGTAAATCCATCCTATTCTCTCATCCTGAAGCTAGTTTTTGTTAATTTCCACTTACTCACGAAACATGAAATCAAAGCTATCAAACTGATTTTTTAATACTGAAAATGTAAAATTACTGTTACCTATTAATAACTAGCTTAATTACTTTAATATTTATAAGCATATCAAACATTTTCAGTTTACATGAGTAAGACGGTTACCTTCCTGTACTGTAGCTATTGCTCTTCAAGGTGCGAGTGCACATGTATATTCCACTCAGGGGTCCATGCTGAGCGCACCAAAGCCGGAGAACTTTGCCTAGCAGTACACCGATGGGGCGGTGCTAGCGTAAGGGCTATCTCCTCAGTCTCTCTGTTCATTCCTATGGTCCCAATCTACTGATTCAGTATCAGTCAGATTTCGCACCCAGCACTGAACAGCCTGCACCTCACAGCATGAATGCTGCATGGCTAGACAAGGAACAGGAGCGCTGTTCTGAAGCTGTTCAACAGGTTTTACTAAGGGCCACCTATCTGGCTAAATGGAAACGTTTTTCAATTTGGTCCCTAGGCTGCAGGATTCTACCAATACAATCCTGCATTCAGGACATTCTGGAGTAATTGTTGCACCTCCAGTCCTCTGGCATTTCATCCTCCATCCAAGGCAAATCAAAGTCTTCTCAAACTCCATGGTAGTCAAGGATCACTTGTCTCTTTCCACCAGTGCAGGAAGTGATTCCTCAATGGGACCTTAGCACTGTGTTGGATGCCCTCATGAGTCCTCCATTTGAGCCCTTGGCGACTTTGTCTTTTGGTATAGTAGAGACAGAGAACGAGTTATTTGTGGCCATAACTTCTGTGAGTTGAGTTAGTGACCTGCAGGCCCTTATGGCGTATACCTAGAATAACCAATTTTTCAAAAGACAAGGTTGCTTTGGCGCCACATCTTACGTTTTTGTCTAAAGGTCGTGTCACAATTTCATCTTACTCAGACAATACTCACCTGTATGTTTTCCCGAACTTCATTCATGTGTTGACGAACAAGCGTTTTCATTTCTTGGATGAGACACATTTGGCATTTTACTTGAAGGGAACTAAACCATTCCGTTCATCACTTCATCTTTTTGTTTCCTTTGCAGATTGCATGAAGGGTCTATTGGTCTCCATGCAGATGATTTCCAGGTGGATAACATCCTGTATTACAACAGCTTATGGGATAGCTCAGACTTCGCCTCTACACAGGTTAAGAGCTATATAACTAGGTCCCAGTGGCATTGGTCACATTTCTCAGTGGCATTTTGACATTGGACATTTGCAGGGCTTCTACTTGGTTTTCCATACATACAGTACTTTAACCACTCATTATGTTATTACAATTGAGTGCTGATCAGATGCAAATTTTGGGAAGGCAGTCTTGAGAAGACTCTGAGCCCCACTTCCTTCTGAAAGTGCTTGTGAATCACCTGAGTGGAGCACACGTCTACAATCACTCAAAGAAAAGACTGTTAGTTACAGTACAGATAAGTGTTGTTCTTCAAGATGTAGGTGCAGAAGTGTATTCCATGACCCACCCTCCATCCCCTCTGCATCTGAGTCTCAATTCTTCATGTTTGGTGAAGGAACTGAGAAAGGTCAGAGTGCTCTTAAACAGCTTGGGAAGGAGCTAATGGCCAGAAGGCACCAGCGCCATCCCTATAGGTACTGCTAGGTAAGGTTCTCTGGCTTTTATGTACTCGGCACATGCACGCTCAAGGGAAATACAGGTCTGCAATCACTCAAAGAAGAAGCTAGTTTCTAAGACCTCAATGGCAAGAAAAGAGGAAATAGTATCATTATCATTAGTATCATTTAATAGCATTAAAACATACCTCATGCTAGGATAAATTCTGATTTTATAACTTTTTCACCTAAAGTTTTTAATGGAGTCAGACAAAAAACAAACAAGTGATACAGAGTAAGTTTCCAGTCTGGTTTCTATAAATCTGAATTTCATTAGTCTATTAAATGTCTTGTAAAAGCAAACAGCAGTTCTCTCTCTTAACATACAGAACAAACTTATCTATGCAGCAAATATCAAGATTCAATATTTTTAAAAACTACATTATTCTCTCTACAAAGATTTGAAACATGAGACTATTTTAACATTTTTTTTTAAATCCCTCTTCTATTCATAACTTTACCTAGTGCAAGGACACTCAGTCCTATTACAGTATCTCTTCCAGCCATTATTCCACTCAGAATACGATGAAAAACATCAACTTCGTTAACCACATTTATCAAGATGGATGCAAACTGCGAATAGCACTCAGGGTTTTGTGGAACACATCGATTAAACAATGGGAAGGATTTGCTGGAAAGTTAAAAAAACAGAGGTTGGAGAAAAAGATTGATTACTGGAGAGTAAGGTTTCAGATACATTCAGGGATCAATCCCGCAGTTCCAAAACAAGTGCAACTCCCAATCAAGTTCCCTTGTTTTGTTTATATGTACTATTATGTTTGCTTGCTTTTTAGTAAAAATTAAATATATTAACACTGCCACCAAAATAAAGAAACAGTTCCAAATTAAAGTAAGCAGTTTATGCTGAATTTGGAATATTTAGACTGAACTTTAGGGTTCCCCTGAACTATTTCAGATTGTCTCAAAACACTTTTCAGAACTTAAGCCAATATACAGAGATCATTTCTTCCTACCCACTAAACTGTAGCCACTTCTGGGATAAAATAGCAGCGCCAATTTAACAATGCACAGCAATACTGCACAGCAGTTTATAACGGAAAGTGAGTACACCTCTACCTCGATACAATGTGACACGATATAACACGAATTGGATATAACGCGGTAAAGCAGTGTTCTGGGGGGGGCGGGGCTGCGCACTCCGGTGGATCAAAGCAAGTTCAATATAACGCGGTTTCACCTATAACACAGTAAGATTTTTTTGGCTCCCGAGGACAGCGTTATATCGAGGTAGAGGTGTATCTCTATCTGATTAAAATGGCAGGAGAGATTTAGGAAGGCAGAACATATTCAGCCAAATTGGAATTTTCCCAGGTCATTGTGTTAATACCCCTACTCTTAGGAAAAAAGACACAAGATCTTTCATGGCCACAAATAGTCAGCAGGTCAGTTATATTTCATCTGAAAGACAGCACTTCTATCAGCATAGTGCCTCCATGTGAGGTACTGGTTCACTATTGACTCAGGAAGAGTGCCATCTACTGAACACCAACAGTGTTTCTGCTCCTTTTTGGGCTCCTATTCAAATATGAATTGGGCTCGAGTTGCTTAATTTGCAAGAACGGATGGGATCAAAGCACAAGTTAGTACGGCTGTAGGCTATATCAATATTATTATTCATTATAGGTATTTTTAATACACACACAAATTTTTCATGGTGTTTAAAATATTCCAACATTCTTAAGGGTGTATTAAGCTAGGACTGACCAGTTTGAGAAAACTGGTAGCCCAGTCAAATATTTACATATAAAAATAATGTTATTTGGCATTGTTAGCCAAGTGTCTTAAATGTATTATCCTTCTAGTCTTAGCACTGCTACACTAAGGCCTTGGCTACACTTGCGAGTTACAGCACTGTAAAGCCGCCCCCAGCGCTGTAACTCACTCCCCGTCCACACTGACAAGGCATTTGCAGCGCTGTATCTCCGTGGTTGCAGCGCTGCATGTACTCCACCTCTCCGAGCGGAATAGCGAGTATTGCGCTGCCACTGCAGCACTGCGGTACCAGTGTGGCCGCCCAATGCGCTGTGAATGGCCTCCAGAATTATTCGGCAGTATCCCACAATGCCTGTTCTAGCCACTCTGGTTATCAGTTCAAACTCTACTGCCCTGGCCTCAGGTAACCAACTATGTGACCCACCCTTTACATTCCCCAGGAATTTTAAAAATCCCCTTCCTGTTTGCTCAGCTCGGCGTGGCGTGCTATCAGCGAATCTTTCCAGGTGACCATGCCTCCACAAGCCAAGCGAGCCCCAGCATGGAGCAATGGCGAGTTGCTGGACTTCATCAGTGTTTGGGGGGAGGAAGCTGTACAGTCCCAGCTGCGCTCCAGCCGTAGGAATTACAATACCTTCAGGAAGGTATCAAAGGACATGATGGAAAGGGGCCATGACCGGGATGCCCTGCAGTGCAGGATTAAAGTGAAGGAGCTGCAGAGTGCCTACCGCAAAGCCCGCGACGTAAACGGCCGCTCGGGTGCTCCCCCCGCGACCTGCCGATTCTACAAAGAGCTGGATGCGATACTTGGGGTTAACCCCACCTCCACTCCAAGCACAACCATGGAGACTTCAGAGCGGGTGGGGGGGGGAAGGAGGAAGAGGAGGTGGAGGAGGAGAACGGGAGTGATGGTGGTGGGCTAGATGGAGACACCCCGGAATCCCTGGAGCAGTACTGCAAACGCAAACGCCACCCCCCCACACAGCCCTTGTCCCAAAACTCTTTCCGTTGTGCCCCACTGTCACCTCCAATCCACTTTCCCCAACTTCCGTGTTCTTTACGCCACCCGCTGCCTCCAACACTAGGATCTTCACCACCCAGCCCTGAAAATCATGACCCTTACCCTCTGCACTCAACCCCCATCACCATGCAGTATAGATGTCCTGAAGTGCAGCACTCACTGCACAGCACACCAGACAGGACATACGCGAATCTGTGATTGTACTGTTCCCCACTCCACCCCCTTGTTTCTTTTCAATAAATGGATTCTTTGGCTTTGAAAACATTCTTTATTATTGCATAAAGTAAAATACACCTTAGCCCAGGAAATAAACAGGCACTGCAAGTCTGCTTGTCTGCTTAGCAGACACTGATTCCTAAAGATTGGAACTACTGCACTTCACTCCCGTGCAGGGCACCAGATATCACCGCTGGTTTTCAGCCTCAAATTGCTTCCTCAAGGCATCCCTAATCCTTGCAGCCCCGCGCTGGGCCCCTGTAATAGCCCTGCTCTCTGGCTGTGCAAATTCAGCCTCCAAGTGTTGAACCTCGGAGGTCCATGCCTGAGTGAAGCTTTCACCCCTCCCTTCACAAATATTATGGAGGGCACAGCACACGGATATAACCGCAGGGATGCTGTTTTCAGCCAAGTCCAGCTTCCCATACAGAGATCGCCAGCGGGCCTTTAAACGGCCAAAGGCACACTCCACAGTCATTCGGCACCGGCTCAGCCTGTAGTTGAACCGTTCCTTGCTGCTGTCAAGGCTCCCTGTGTAGGGTTTCATGAGCCACAGCATTAACGGGTAAGTGGGATCTCCCAGGATCACAATGGGCATTTCAACTTCCCCTACCGTGATCTTCCGCTCTGGGAAAAAAGTCCCGGCCTGCATCTTCCTGAACAGCCAAGTGTTCCGAAAGATGCGTGCGTCATGCACCTTTCCGGGCCAGCCTGTGTTAATGTCAATGAAACGCCCACGGTGATCCACAAGCGCCGGGAGAACCATAGAGAAATACCCCTTCCGATTAACGTACTCGGATCCTAGGTGGGGTGGTGCCAGAATAGGAATGTGTCCCCCATCTATCGCCCCTCCACAGTTAGGGAACCCCATTTGTGCAAAGCCATCCACTATTTCCTGCACGTTACCCAGAGTCATGGTTCTTCTGAGTAGGATGCGAATAAAGGCCTTGCAAACTTGCATCAACATGATTCCAACGGTCGACTTTTCCACTCCAAACTGGTTTGCGACCGACCGGTAGCTGTCTGGAGTTGCCAGCTTGCAGATTGCAATAGCCACCCACTTCTCCACTGGCAGGGCAGCTCTCAATCTCGTGTCCTTGCGCTGCAGGGTCGGGGCAAGCTCCTCACATAGTCCCATGAAAGTGGCTTTTCTCATGTGAAAGTTCTGCAGCCACTGCTTGTCAACCCAGACTTCCATGACAATGTGATCCCACCACTCGGTGCTTGTTTCCCAAGCCCAAAAGTGGCGTTCCACGGTGCTGAGCATGTCCGTGAATGCCACAAGCAATTTCTTGTCGTACGTGTTACGCGGCTCGATAGCATCGTCAGACTCCTCACCCTCACTCTCACTGTCACTTTGGATCTTAAGGAATAGTTCGACAGCCAAACGTGACGTGCTGGCGAGAGTCGTCAGCATACGCCTCAACAGTTCGGACTCCATTTCCCGCAGACAGATCGCGCTGCACAGAAACCGTTGAAAGATGGCGCCAAAGGTGGACGGAAACAAAGGGATTTCTGTGATGCGAAGCGATGCATCACGGGGCATTGGGACAGGGCCCAGAATTCACCCGCATCCACGCCCCCGTCCCACAACCCACAGCGCCAGAATGGGAAAAGGTGCTCTGTGGGATAGCTTCCCATAATGCACCACTCCCAATAGCGCTGCAATTGCCACAAATGTGGCCACGATAGTGCGCTGGGCAGCTGTCAGTGAGGACAGACTGCAGCGCTTTCCCTACTCAGCTGCATGAAGTCAGGTTTAACTCACAGCGCTGTACATCTGCAAGTGTAGCCAAGGCCTAAGCCAGCAAGAAGGTTTTTAGATCTCAGACTAACTCATGTGTGTATCTAAAAGGAGACAGCAATCCATCAGCATAGTATGCCTCCCTAATTAACAAGTAAATGGTGACTATTACTAGGGAAACTGATTCGACCTGTTTTGCTTTTAAGAGGAAGTATCACATATCTAAAGAGATTGTTCTCAAGGATTTCACGCTGCAGAGAGAAAATACAGATGGTCAAAAATAAGTGTGAGATGCCCTCTTTTCAATTCATTTTATGTTTCACCTCTGAAAGGTCTCTCACGCTCTTTTCCTCACTTTCCTTTGTGCAACGGAGTAGGGAAGCATAAAGAGTCCAGTTCTGTGCCTTCAGGAGGCAATGGGACTTCACTTGAGCACATGCTTAACTATCTCTGCCGAACAGGGGTATGAACTGTGTGTGTGTGTGTGTGTGTGTGTGTGTGTGTGTGTGTGTGTGTAGTATAGTAACT